AAAGGTGAGTACACATAATGATCCAGAAAGCTCAGTAATATGTACGTCACTCTGTTAATCATTCAGTTGTGGCATAGTTAGAATGGATTCATACATTGAAAGTAATTTTTCTACTTCTTATTTTCAGCTGGCACAGTCAAGAAAGAAGGACACCAGTGTAAGTATTTTTTTCAATAATTTCTTTTTTTTAAAGAGACAAAGCAGAAAATGCAACGGAAAGACAACTTCCTAAATTCCCTGAGACAGTGTTTAGCAATGATGAAGCATGAAAGATGTCTGTGCATTGAAGTATTGCTCAGAAACCCCGTATTGCACCCTCTAACTGCCGATGCGTAAACTATACTCCTAAATAAAACCATTCCAGCAGTAGTCATCAGAACTTTGCTCTGTTGGAGTCATTGGTTAGGATTGTTTCCTTGGTTTTGATTGAGTTGAACGAATGATGTGAAATTTAAGCTGATAAGAGGGTACTTTCAGTTCTGTCTCTGTGAGTTGTCGTTCTGTGGTTAGATTATTTTTCATTGGTAAAAATTCATTTTACCGGGTGTAGGGGAAGTGTGGGGTAGACTTTTCTGGGGGAGGAGGTTAGGGGGCAAAGCACTCATCAGCAGCAAACTGATAAACCATTAATTAGCAGTGGTGGGGGTCATTTCTGAGGGATATCAAGGAAATTGGCGTTCTCATCCCCTTTCTTTCCTTTTCTCTGATTTTCAGCCGTCTCTTTTTTTCCTTGAAAATATTGTTTTATTCTTCATTTTGTGGGAGTGCCCCCTTTGCCCCCCTACATAACGAAGTAGGCTAGTTCGTGTAATTTTTTGTTACCATTTTGCCTTCCAGCCTCCATGAGATTCTGCATGGGCTCGAGGCGCGGTTTCATCTGCCGCATGAAGTACGGCAATGCCCAGTTGGACCCCATGACTATGGGACGCTTCAACCACATCCGGAACCGCAACAGCATCGGGTCCAAGGACGGCGAGCAGTACGCGGTGGTGCACTGCACGGGCTACATCAAGAATTGGCCCCCACCAGCAGGTGTGTCATGTTTGTGTGGAGAAGCATATTAATCTGTCTGAGGACGTGTGGGCAAAGGAGGTCCACCCAGTGCACTGAGTGAGGACAGTGTGTGAACTTGCCTAGATCCTCCTCTCCAAAAAAACTTTTCTGAGAAGAGTTTTTGGGTTGTTGCTCTTTGTCATTAATTCATTCTGAATGCTCAGAAAAATCATAAGAAATTCAAGTGTGATGGCGGTGTTCACAGCATAAGTAAAGTGGGTTCTTCTCCCAGTCTCAGTTTTTCTTGCAAACTCAAATACAAAGGAATGTCTGCACTGCATTTAACGCAAATGCTTGTGTGTGTGTGGGTAGGCCATTACCGGGTTAAGGAGACAGTTTCTTTTCCTAGGCAAAGTAGGACTGACTTGTGGGGACATTTCTCTGTACCCAAAATATTTTCGGTCTGTACTAAGTAGGTTTATTACCATGTGTTTTGCCCCAACTACTACGGAGCAAGTATTTATGTTCTGGTAACCAGGCCACAAAATTCATTGAGCTGTTTAGCCCAGAATACATTTTCCTAGCACACTGCATAGTTTGCTTAGCAAAAATAAGACACAAACCAAAAATGCCTGGCTTTACTTAAAATATTGCTTTAACTAGTTTTCAGCTCATTATTTTTTTTGTTGGAAGAAATCCTCAGCAGCATTTTTTCCTCAGCAGCTTTGTGAAATTGGAACATTTGTGACAGTCACTGAGATCCCGTGGAAAATGGAGCTAAGCAACTTAGCAAGGAACCTTCAGTTTTTGAGGATTACTTTGGTTACATTATAGCTGTTTTTCCATTCTTTAAATATCTACTGCCAATATCTCACTTGAAATTCTGATCGACAGAGTCATTCCATAGCTCCTGTGACAAGATCTTGTGCAGTGAAGTCTTCAGGGATTCATTTCCATTACCACTCTTCCCCTTCCCCTTCTCAGCTTCCGTTGTCATGGACCAGCCGGAGGCGGACTCAGAGAGCCATGGCAACAACCACTACTGCCTGGTTGCCATAGGCCGTCTCCAGACCACCAGCACGCCGAATTGCTCTGATCTCGGAGGGGCAGGCACGCCCAATGAGTTCATCTCCAGACACCAGCCAGACGGCAAGTTTACTTTCGTGGACCAGAGGTATGTCTGTTGATACATAGTGGTCCCACTGTCCTTGTACAAGACTTAAAGTGTTCAGGGTACCTTCCACATGGAGGATTTTCCAGATTTATCCATACCAAAGTGTTCTGTGGATCTGTTCGAAGTGCTAAGATGGAGCTGATCTGTTCAATAGCACAGACAGACTTCTACAGCCACCCGAGAATTTAAAATTTTCCTGTTTCAAGTTAATTGAATGATCGACTCTTCAGCTCTATTGGGTCAATGTTTGACTTTTGAAATCTGATCTGATGGTTATGGTTTACTTTTGAAGTGCTTGGTTTGATGTTGATGGGTGACTTTAAACTCTTTGGTTTGGTGTTAATGGCTGACCTTTGAACTCTGTGGTTGCCAGGGTGACAGGAGTGCTCGGATACCAGCCCCAGGAACTATTGGGCAAGTCCAGCTATGACTATTACCATCCAGAGGACCAGGCACATCTGAAAGACAGTTTTGAACAAGGTATCCAATTAATTTAAAGTGAAAGATTTCCTGGTGAAATTTTGTAATTATTTCTTCTAATAGCGGTGCAAATTGGAGAGAACAGCAGTTTTTTCACTGAGGGCTATAAATTCTTCTGCGTAAATCAAGTCTTCAAGATATCAGTGATTACCTTAACCATATGCTACTGGGTTTAATTAGAATTTGCATGTTGCGATCCTGGGGGATTTTTTTCCATTTTCACAAATCTTCAAAAATTCATAACTTCATTTACTGGACGTTTACACCCGCACAAATGAATGTCGGGTAGCTACTCTAATCTGACAGGCAACATCTATTGATGCCAGATTATTTCGGCCAGGCCTGCTGCCTTGTAAAGAGAGCCCAGATTGTGGATTGTTGCATAATTTCCTTTGTTCTCGAAATTAGCCCAATGCGCTGCTGGCGTCTTTTCAAATGTGGAAAGATTAGCTTGCAGCGGAATTATTTCGCTCATCTCTGGAGCGCCCCACAATCTGGAGCACTTTTGTCCCTGGTGATAATCTGCTTTCCCTGAATGCCACAAATAATGGTATACTGTTTCAAAACAATGAGAGATTACCTCCGCTATTGACAAGTGAAAAAAATGCTTGCTCCTTTGTCCGATTTCAGGCATCCCCGGCTATTCGTATAAACCTAAGGTCTCCGGTACCGGGAACCCCGGCACCAAGTGGTCAATATTGTTTTGTATGAAATAGATGCTTCTCTTAAACTATGTCGAGGATTCCTGCATAAACTAAAAACAAATCCTCAAGAAGTAAATTATTGGTTTTGCTGTACTTAAGTCGATTCAGGACTGTTTGACACTGTTAGTGTCTCTTTACTTGAAGTATTTTTTTGTTACAAAAATTAGTCAGTTGGTTTTAACACACGTACTCGATAAAGAGGCTTCCAAGCAGATATGCCAAAAGAATTGGAATAACTGGCTGTTTTTTCCTGTCTTTGTCTCATCAAATCAGAGAAGCTCAATATTCTGGTGCATACAACATATTGTAGCTAAATGGCTTCTAGTCAGTTTCATCAGTATTTGTAGGAACTGCACAGCCATGTAACTAAGAACAGAGCTGAATCTTGGGATGACAAGTGTCTCCTTTAGAGATATTAAGACCTGCTTCAGTAGCCTGATTTGTGGCTGTTTGCAAGTCTCAGATTACATTTGGGTATCATGGAGGAACTCTTTCTATATAGAGTACCAAAATGTGATGCAATTTTGGACTAGGAAGTGTAGAGCAATGAATGGGGTTTGGTGCGTGACGGTCCACATGCTGGGTCTCGCGATAATGTCTTTTACACGCATTGTGGTGCGTGTGACGTATTCACTTTGGTATTCTTTACCTGACTTCCAGGGAAAAAGTTAACGCTCATATACATCACTGCTTCTTTCCCCTCTCTCTCACAAATCCCTTCCCAACAGCTGTGAAGTTGAAAGGTCAAGTGCTATCCTTGATGTACCGTTTCCAAGCCAAGAATAGGGACTGGGTCTGGTTGCGGACCAGCTGTTTCAGCTTCCAGAATCCCTATACAGACGAGGTGGAGTACATCATCTGTACGAATGCCTCCGTCAAGTAAGTGCCAACATGAAATGAGTGCTCCTGCCTTGTTTGAGTATTCACACTCCTTTGTCAAGGAAAACAGAGGAGGATCTTTTGACTCGTGTAAAGAATTGGCAGTAAGCCAAGCCACACAAGAGTCGCCACACAGAATTTCTACATTGGGTACAGGAACTGCAAATGCCCATTGTTTGTCTCTCTAGCAGCACCGGACACAAACGGCTTGATTTGGTGAGGGAAAACCGCAGCGCTGTTCTACTGTCAACGCATAAATTAAGGAAGCCCCTTTCAAAATTGAATGGACTGGTTGATTGACAAGTTTCCAGATAACGACAGATTCGTGCTCAGTTGGTGCTCAAAAAATGCTTGTCTTAACCCAAATCTCCTAACATCCGAGCTCGTATTACACTTTTTTGTGAATTGTGCAAAATTCAGTAGGGACTGGCAAATATGATCGTCCAAACCGGAATCTTGTCTTACCTGAACTTGTATTACCGAGAGTCAACTGTATTGTAGTAAACAACCTTTAGATGGCAGTTACAAGATTTCACCAAATTACAGTTTGTAACATTATCGCTTTTCACTTTATTTTCCATTTTACCCCATTTTAGCAGTACAGTAATTGTAAATTTACAGAAATCCTTGATGAATCTATGGTACCTGTGTGTTTCGTTACGGATTTACAATTTGCACTGGAAATGGAAAAACAGATGCTGATTGCTAAGTTACATTACATTGGCAGAAACATCCAGCAGCCTCATGCCAGTCAAGAGCTAGAAACGTCCACCTCTGCCATGGGAGCCAAAGTCAAAGGTCCTGGAGAACCTGTTCCTTCCCTGACACCTTACGGGGCCTACCCCAGGGGCAACACCACTGAGGCCCTGAGCGAGAGGCACCAAGGGGCTGACAAGAGCTCCCAGGAGTGCAAGTCGGAACCGGTGGGCCGCTTCCAAGCCGAGAGCGGCGGGGTGTACGGGGGTGTGATGTCACCCCCGCAGGGTGGAGTCATGCCCAGCAGCGCAGGAGGCGGGGACAAACAGAGCCGATCGCTGGGCGGTGGGGCTGGGTTCAGCTCTGGGTCCTACCCTCAGGTGAGGGCGCCGCAGTCGTACAGCAGGCCTGACGAGGCAGCAGCAGCGGGTGGCGCCAAGGGGCTGGGCGTGATGGAAGACTCCACCAAGAGTTACAGCCAGACTGCAGCCTCGTGGACGGCACCCCAGTACAACTCGCAGGTTGAGGTGAGTCTCGGCACGCTGCCAAACCATAGAATAAATACTGAGGAAAGCTTTAACCACTT